TCTCTCTCTCTCTCTCTCTCTCTCTCTCTCGTTGAATTTAGGGTTTGGTATAATTGCAAAATATGTTTATTTAGCTTGATGAATTAAACTACTGTCTTTCTTCGCATTAGATTGGGCTTTCAATCAGTTATGCATGGGTTGTGCTAAATAATTAAACACTTTGTTTCAGTCTCTCGAGGTGCTTAGTGGTTTCCAGCTTGCGTACATGGAGGGGGGTGATTATAAATCTCTGCTTGTATTGGTGACATCTTATTCAAGTCGATATCATGGTGAGATATATGAAGTTAAAATCCAAAAAGGATCTGGACAAATTATGGGGGGAGTACGAGGAGCAATTGGAGATGAATATGGCAAAGATCAAGCCCCACTGCGTCCTGTAACTACCTTCTTCAACAAGAATACTTACTCCATCCCGGACAGTTGTCTCTGTGATGCTACAGACTTATTTGGTGGCTCCAAGTTGTATTTGTTGTTCAGAGAGGGCATGCAAGCTAATCCTCCCCACTCTGTCATGACACCGGACTCCTTGAAGGGATATGTATTCGACATACAGAACAAGTCATTCTCTACCTTCCAGGGCCCCAGAGTACCCAAGCCACTTGGAAATGTGATTTCTGCATATGAAAAGTTATATCATCTTGCAATCCCTGTAACCTCTCCGCATGAGCCAAATGACCCAGAATCAGTGTTTGAGCGGTACGATCCTCTGAATGACAGTTGGGAGTTTCTTCCACCTGTTCCCTCTGTTATTTCTGATAAACGAGTGGAGATAGTCGGTTATGCTGTTTACAACCACCATATTTTGCTCTCGTTGACATGCGGCCCAGGATATGAATTCCTTGCCTTTCATGTAAGAACTCAGAAATGGGTTCATGTCAAAGTCGAGAAATCTCATCGCATGGCCTGTTCGCATTTTCCTTTCCGAGGGAGGGCGGTGGTTTTGGGCGATCGGATGTATGCTTCATCATATTCATTTGGAGTGGTTCTTGAATTTTCCTTTGATTGTGAAGCCTATTCTTTAACCCCAAAGTTGGTGTTTCCGAGGTTTAAAAGAATGCATCTTGCGAACATGGATATTGGTGTTCAGACAGAGTATTTGGTTCATTTGGGTGGCTGGGATTTTTGTTTTGTCCAGACTGCCTACGACTACAAGAGGATTGATCGTCAGCCTTTGTGGATCACCACGTTCCGAATCATTGTTGGAAGTGGAGGAAGTAGCAACATTGAGATCTTGCATTCAACTATTCGTGATGTGTACATCCATGGTGGTTGGCATGTTCATGTCAATTTCAGCTTCACGCCGTAAGTTTCTTGCTTGCTTGCTTCCTTCCTTTCTCCGTGTGTTTGTCTTTCTATAAATTGTTTCAATATGTTTGATTATTTTGTGACTCATAGATTGCTGGAACAGTGAACACCAAAGAGAAGAAGAAGAAACAAGGCGCCAGGGAAAGGACGCAAAGGGACTCAAAGGGAAAGTATGGCGGATCACTTCTTCCTCCCAGAAAAAAAAAATCAAATGAACCCACAGATTCTCAGTTCAATGCGGTTCAGTTGTGTATTTATGTGTTTCCAATTGTGAGAGTTTTCTTTTTGAGCTATGAATTTTGTGACTTAGTATTGCTTTCCAGTAATTTCTTATTCAAAATAGACATTGAAAGTCCTGTTGGTTAAAGTTGAAGCCTGGAAAACATTTTGACCAATGAAATCCATTTCAACTTCTTTTATCCTTTCTCTTTTATGTCTTCCAAGAGTTGAGCTGTGCCTCCTTTGATTTTGTTTAACCCTAATTTTTGTTGTCAATGACTGAGTGGTGGACAAGGGACATTAGTACAATGATCAGTGATGAATTTCAACAAATAGATGGAAAGTGTGTGGAAGCAACAACCGCTTAAATTAAAGAAGAGGAACAGATAAAGGAGAAATTGGAGTAACTAGAGCAGTTGGTGGCCAAAATACTGGATTCGAACCCTTCAGTATTGTTAATCATTGATGTATGTGAGAATTTATATTTGCATTAAGAAAATCATGACACGTAATATGTTGAACGTGTGTGTTATAATAATTTTACAAATTTATAAAGAAACTCAATCCTAGACATGTATTTATAAAAAAACCTAAGCACTAGTTAAACATAGAAACACACCCAAAATCGACTCCAAAATCAATAATTGTATATTTTTTGGTGTGTTTATAAATGAGTTTTGAGTGTGTGTGTGTGTAATGATGAGTTCTGAGTGTGTTTATAAAGTGTTTTGGGTGTTGAGTTTTTTTATAATTTCAGCCCCCATTTTGGGTGTTTTAGTGAAACTCCCTAATAATTTTTAGTTCATTAGGATAAATTTGTGGACACCTTTAGGATAATATGGAACACAGAAAGGAGAAATTGGAGCTACTCCAACAATTGGTGGCCAAAAAAGCAGATTCAAACCTTCCTATTCTTACTCAGGTCTAAATGAGGGTACGTTTGTGTGAAGGAAACACTAATAATTTGGGGTGACAAAGATGGATCTCGAGCCTTTGCATTTAGAGTCCACGCATTTACCTGCATTTAGCTTCATCGTGGCCACTACAATGATCCAACAACATAGGTAACCTATGAGCGCTCGAAGTATTTATCGCCTTGTGCGATGGGCTGAGACACGTGTGGAGCCTTTTGGGCTTCGAAACCCGAGTATATCTTATTGGTTCCATTATGCTTAATGCATGCTTCTAATAAGTTGCTGTATTTGTCGGATGACTGAAACTCATGGAGAAAACATACAAAATCTTTCATGATGTTCATTTATAAGCTTTCCTGAGCCTGACTTGTAGAAAGGGGGGAAAACAAAAGCTTCATATTCTCTTCACATAATCAATTAATCATTCAAAATACTATCAATAACATATGGCGTAAGCATTCAAATAATTGTGAAAGAACAAGACAGAAGAAGTAAACAACATAATATTTAAACAGAACATTCTTTTACAAGTACACAGATCCAATACGAGTCAGAATCTTTAGTAAGTGAACAACTGTTTCATCTCACATCTCTGGACTATAATCCCATTGGCTGATTGATGTACCATGTAGTCTCTCACTTGGTGCCTTTAGCAAGGGGAAAGGATAGGCTTCTGTTCCTGGGGCGGATTGGGTTAAGCAGGTTCCTCATCTTCCTCCATTTCTTCCACTGCTTGAGCAGATTGTTTCTTTGGGATTGCCAGTTGATAGTTTGGGCTGATCAATGTGTCCTGTTCAGGCAGCAATGCCACACCAGGCCCTGCAATTGATTTTGGTAATGGGATTTTGTTCCTATTTCTAGCCAATTCCAGTAGCACCTGATGATGGGTTTGCTTAACAATTTCAAAATTTGTACCATAATGGTCGAATAACACACATAAGCTGATTGATTTCATAATGAAAAGGTACATTTTTTTGACGCATGGTGTTATACAATTTTGTTATATGAACTCAAATTTAGCAGAAGAAATGGAAGGAAGTGAAATATATTACCTCTCTTGGTGGGGGCTGTGAGAAGCTGAAATTAACCTTGGACTGAATAGTAAGCTTGACATCGTCACAATCAATTGCGGGCTTACCAGCATGTTCTGAGCAGACCTGTGCATCAGTTAGCACATCAACCACGTATCAATACCACAGCTCCAAGAATTGGTGAACAACACAAGGCTCATATTCCTCCACACCCATTGATTTTAACAGTGTTTTCACTATCTTTGCATCTCTGGGCAAGTCCTCATCTTCCCCTGCCATTTTCTGGTTCTGGGTACTTCTGCTAGGCAGGGAGGCAGGGCCAGAGCAGCTGGGATGGGCTAAACCTCTAAACTACTACATTTCTTTTTCTTTCAACAATCTGGACAATCAGCAAGCTACACAGCTCTGTTACTCCAAGGACAATAGAAACTGTAGCAAGAATAGCCTGGACATAGAGCAGTATCAGAAATATGTATTTCGAGGAGCAAAATAACACAATTAGAACAGCAAACTAGCACAGATTTGAGGCAGTAATTGATGAATATACAAAACTTGAGGCAAATAAGCAGTGTACAGAAAATAGAACAATGAAAGAGGCTGCTACCACTGCAAGTTAAAAATTGTAGCACCCAAAATGAAAAGGAAACACAACCAGAGTCAATTTTATATAAAAAGGTTCCATTAAAAAAAAGCACCAAATTTTGGTTCACGGCGCAAAACAATCTTCCCTGCTTATTGGAAATTTTCACATCAGTACCTCCACAAATTTGCACACGGAAAGGTTGAATTTTATATTACAATTGTGTCCATCGAACAAGAGAAAGTTTTCAAACCTATATCATATGATTATTTCCAGAACACAAAAACCATTCTGCTTGGTAACAAAGCAGAATTTATCTATTGGTGTACTGGATTTTATGTCAACTTTCTTCAGTGGAACTCCTAAGTACTAAATCCAAAATAAAATTTACCAAAATCAAAGAATTTCAAAATGGAGAGAGAGGCACAATCAGCAGGGAACGAAAGTAGGTAACTCACCTGATGTACGGCCGTCCAATTAGAGATATCGAGGCTTCTGTGACTTGGGATTTGCTTGAGACACACAGCAGTGATAAGTGAATAAAACTGAAACTAGGGCTTTGCATGGGTGCGCGGGAGAAGAAAGAGGAAATGGAGAGAGAGTTTGTATATGAACCCATGAATTGTTTGATATATAAATTGCAAAATATGTTTTGTTTTTTGGTCAAAGAGATGCTTGAAATAAAGAGAAACAAACATAAAGTCTCCAGGAATGAGGGAACAACACCTCCACTCAACCGGATAACAACAAGGCAAAGAGAAATAGAACTAACAAAGAAAAACTTAGTTACAAGGCCATCCACTAAGATGTCACCAACCTCTAACTAGGAACTAGGAGGGGAGGGAAGCCCATCCGCATGCAGAACAAAGACCAAGGAAGATGGGGGTCTATGTAGCCACATCCTCCGTCTCACACTCCCCAAAATTGAATCGGCTACACCATCACACCTACGAATGTTTAAAACAAATGTTCCCATGAAATTAGATTTAACTCTCTCAATATCTATCATATTCTATCACTATTCTGAATTTGGTGTTCATGCAGATAACTCAAAAACCCCGGGCATAGAGGTTTACGCATACATCTATCAACGTTGAAAACTTCTATATCACTGACGTAATGAACCTTCAAATTGCGCAGGAAGCAAAGGAGGTGAGTCACTTTCCAAAGATAACTACCAGACGATAACTCATCTACTTGCTCAAATATTGTATGGCAATTGATACGACTATGTCAACCTTGAAAATATTTGAATTGCTACTTCCATATCTGCCTTTGTTTAGAGGGCTTAGAGATATATTTTTCAAAGTCCCTAAAATTTGCCAGAGTTTTCTTTTCATAAGCTTTGTAAACCTCAAAGCAATACCCAACTCTCAAGCTTGGGCTGGGAAGGATAATATGAATAAAACTCTGGCAAATTTTAGGGTCTTCAAAAAATATATCTCTAAGCCCTCTAAACAAAGGCAGATATGGAAGTAGCAATTCAAACATTTTCAGGGTTGTCATAGCCGTATTGCCATACAATATTTGAGCTAGTAGATGAGTTCTCACCTGTTAGTTATCTTTGGAAAGTGACTGACCTCATTCGCTTCCTGCGCAATTTGAAGGTTCATTACGTCAATGATATAGAAGTTTTCAACGTTGATAGATGTATGCGTAGAACTCTATGCCTGGGATTTTTGAGCTATCTGCATGAACACTAAATTCAGAAGAGTGATAGGATATGATAGACATTAAGAGAGTTGAATCTAATTTCATGGGAACATGTGCTATAAACATATTTTGCTAGGCGAGTCCTCATCTTCCCCTGCCATTTTCTGGTTCTGGGTACTTCTGCTAGGCAGGGATGCAGGGCCAGAGCAGCTGGGATGGGCTAAACCTCTAAACTACTACATTTCTTTTTCTTTCAACAATCTGTACAATCAGCAAGCTACACAGCTCTGTTACTCCAAAGACAATAGAAACTGTAGCAAGAATAGCCTGGACATAGAGCAGTATCAGAAATACATATTTTGAGGAGCAAAATAACACAATTAGAACAGCAAACTAGCACAAATTTGAGGCAGTAATTGATGAATATACAAAACTTTGAGGCAAATAAGCAGTGAACAGAAAATAGAACAATGAAAGAGGCTACTACCACTGCAAGTTAAATATTGTAGCACCAAAAATGAAAAGGAAACACAACCAGAGTCAATTTTATCAAGATACAAAAAGGGTTCCATAAAAAGAAAAAGCACCAAATTTCGGTTCACGGCGCAAATCAATCTTCCCTGCTTATTGGAAATTTTCACATCAGTACCTCCACAAATTGGCAAAGGTTGAATTTTATATTATAATTATGTCCATCGAACAAGAGAAAGTTTTCAAACCTATATCATATGATTATTTCCAGAACACAAAAACCATTCTGCTCAATAAAAAAACAGAATTTATCTATTGGTGTACTGGATTTTATGTCAAATTTCTTCAGTGGAACTCCTAAGTACTAAATCCAAAATAAAATTTACCAAAATTAAAGGATTTCAAAATGGAGAGAAAGGCACAATCAGCAGGGAACGAAAGTAGGTAGCTCACCTGATTTTGTATGGCCGTCAAATTAGAGATAGCGAGGCTTCTGTGACTTGAGATTTGCTTGAGACACAGTGATGAGTGAATAAAACTGAAACTAGGGCTTTGCTGATGGGTACGCGGGAGAAGAAAGAGGTTATGGAGAGAGAGAGAGAGAGAGAGTTTGGGTAACTGGGGACAATGGAAGAGTATTAATGCTTATTGGGCTTAGCATTTCCTCCATTCAAAGTACGAATGAGGCCCAAATTCAATTTTTTTATATAAATATTTTATAATTTATTTTTGTTTTGGGGCGGTGGAATATACCCTTGTATTTTAATTTAGTTTTACAATTTCAAACAATTTGAACTTTGTATGGTTTTGGGTTTTATTAATAATTTTTTTAATTATATATAAAAATGATTTCAAAAGCGGTATTGGAACGTATACCGAATAAATAGTGTACCCGAAATATATAAAAATTTCTCGCCTTGGAGAAGGAAAATTGAAGACATCGTTGAGCTACAAGTTTATTGAGCTAAAAGTACTAGAAGTATAACTGCAGCTAATTATTCAGTTTGTGCACTTTTTTCACAGAGAATTGCAATACCCACATTTTGAATGAAGCAGAAAAATCTCCATTAACTAATACCACTTGCATTATTTGATATAATATAACTTTCTAGTACAATCCTTTGAAGTGAAAACAACAGATAGAATTGGACTTAATTTTTCTCTCTCTATCTCCACAAGAATTCATGAACAGAACCTTGTCATGAAAGCACAAGCATCAGCAATACTAAAACCCCA